GAGGCTCCAGACGTGTGGTCAAACAACGAAACGCTGTCTCTAGAATCTCTCAGCAGGTACAGCTGTAAGTCGTCGAGCCACGTATCGAACTGGATCGGACGGCCCTCATGATCGAAGGTGAGTACACTGAGAGAAGCCATAGCGGGCAGGGCAGGGTGGCGCGCGACCAGCAGAGCAGTGCACAGAGCAAGGCAGGGCGGCGCACGGCTAGGGCGGCCAGCGGGGCGGCGCACAGCAGGGGCGGCTGCAGGGGCAGGCAGTAGCCGGGCGGCAAGGGCGGCGAGCGGGCCGCAAGGGCGGCGAGCGGGCCGAAGAGCGGCGAGCAGGCCGCAGGCGGGCGGCAAGCGGGCTGCAGAGGCAGCGCGCGGGCCGCAAGGCCGGCGAGCGGGCTTCTAAGGGCGGCGAGCGGGCTGCTAAGGGCGGCGAGCGGGCCGCAAGGCCGGCGAGCGGGCCGAAGGGCGGCGCGCGGGCCGCAAGCGGGCGGCGAGCGGGTGGCAATGGCGGCGAGCGGGCGGCAGGGGCGGCGCGCTGGCTGCAGGGGCGGCTCGCGGGCTGCTAAGGGCGGCGCGACGGGCTGCTAGGGGCGGCACAGCGACTAGCAGGGCGGCGGGCCGTTAGGGCAGGGCTGCAGGGCAGCTAGTGGGGCAGCTATGTGGTGGGCCCTAAAAGAAATTCGGTCCTAGGGAATGACCTGCTCTGAAACCATGTTAGAATCTAGAACGAGAATGATGGATTGAACAGAATGTTTGGTACAAGTACAAACCCTAATTGGGTTGTACCCCTTATGGGCTACCCCACTAGAGCCTACACAATGTAAGCACTATATAAGTTTGACATGATGCTCCCATAGTGACTCTGAATGCATGGGACGCCGCCCAAGCAACATCACTGCCATCCAGGAGTCGTTTCTGCTTCGTCCTCTTCATCAGAATGGGGTTTCAATCCCTTGCGCGTGTACCAAGAGGCAGCCAGCCGTGTGTATTCGCCTATGCTGCTGGTTTCTCTCGTTGCTTGTTTCTGCCACTTTCACTCTAGCTTAGATGTAGCTGGTCTAGATACTGACTATGCCAGGCCCCGATGAGGCGAGCGTTACTGATGCCCAAGGGAGCAATGGTGCGCATCGTCAAGCGCCAGTGGATAGATCTAACGAAGTTACCGGCATCGGTCTGCTTTTTTCGAGCCTCGCCCAAGTAGACACCCATGAACCGCCTGCAGATGTCGCGTCGCCTGCCAAGATCCCTTACGAACCGATTGATCCAGATGGGTGGGCTGATTGCCTTTCAATGCCTGATTTTGAGCAAGAACGTGAGGCGCCCCCTGTGGCAGAATCTACGCCAACAACCCTGCCGAATAAGAATGGGCGTTACAAGCAGTTACCGCTCCCGTTTCGCTCCAATGCCTCTGTCGACGGACCATCCGCGCCGTCTCCAACCGACGTGCCTTCGTCGCCCGCCACTACTGGCGTGCAGCAATCGCCTTTCGAAGTTGGGCCGTCGAAGGATTAGTGACTCTGATTCTGATTATTGAACTCTATCGATGCTGCATGCAAGCACGATGTGCTAAACTTTAAATCCTTAGTTTTTTTTATTTAATCAGGCTTTTTTTTGGATGTAACACCTATCAATCATGCTTTTTTTTTAAGCAACACTGAATTTCCAGCATTGTCAATCATCCTTTTTACTCAGGGAAAGCCTGATGCATCAGGGTACTAAAAAGTGAATCTGAGGGCCTGGTAGAAACTAAATCACACACCTACTTACTGAAGCACACCTACTTACTGAAGCACCTCTAGCAAAATTGCCTGGATGGAGTCCTGTCGGGGAACAATGTGCCAGGTGTGTAGTGTTTTGACGACATCGCCAAAAGCCTGGTATCCGGGTTTCGCTAAACCTTACAGATGTACAGTAAGTTGGTGCCCGAAATGGTGTAACCTTTGTCTCGCACGATCAATGTGCCAGCGCCCACACATCGATCGTGCAATTGTGGAGATCGTGCAATTTTGCCCCATAAATTCTGTAATGGTGTAACCTGTGGCTCAGTGTGTCCAGGCGACCGCAAATTTGCAGTTGGGCACACCGGTTTGCCGATCGATCATGGCTGTATCGATGTGAGGTCCCAATCCTCTTCCGATCCTGCCAATTTCGCTGCAGGTGCCGCGTCCTAAGAACTTGACAGGCCGCATGTGCCATTGTTCAATTCCTCTACTCCACACACGAGTGGCCATGGCAATGTGATTCACTACCATGACATCTACTGGTGTAGAAGCGACCCATGCATGCGTGTGACATGCCCCACCCAACCCACCACTACTCTCCTCTCTCCTCCACACGAGTAGCCATGGCAATGTAATTCACTGCCACATCATCTCTCGAGAGGTTCCACCTGTTGCTGACAGGGTCGTACACCATGCCACGTGTCTCTGCCAGCTGGCAGGTCCGGAGAGCAAGGGAGGGGAGGGGAGAAGAGAATTCTCAAGCAGGAGTAAGTCAGAACTCCTGAGTCGACTCAGGTGGCAGGACAGAGGACGCCCTGCAGGCACGGAGGGGCTGTTGGAGAGGAGACAGAGTAAACAGGGTCCACTCACAACCTGGCAAGCTGCAGCACGGTGATTTTAGAATTATAAAGAACACCCTGCAAATTTTTTTTTGGGTTCCCAAAATCACCCTGCAGGCGGGGTGGGGCTGTTGGTGTGGAGATAGAGCAAACACGGTCCACCCAAAACCTGGCTCGCCACAGCAACAGCTTTAGACATGGGCACATGCACGGGAAACATCATTTATCATGGGCACTGCTTTGCAAACGTCATTTGGCGTTACCATACCTTGCATCTCTTGGCTGCACCCCCCAGAAGCACATGCAGCTCACCTGGAAGTTGGCTCGTCGCAGCATGAGGGCCAGCTCCACAGGGGTGATAAATTTGTTCCAGTCGTGAGTTCCCCGGGGTACCTACCACAAGTGAGGGTGATTGCAATCGGGGCAATTTTTTGTGTAGTGTTAGCCACCTCGAATTCATGTTTAGGTGCTTAAGAAATATTTTGGTGAGTGCTAGGTGGTTGTAAGTTTCGCAAAACGGGCAAAATCAGGTGGTCATGCAACAAGTACTCATGCAAAAGAAAATATAAGAAAAGAACAGAAAAAAAGAGCGAAAAAATAGAAGCCTTACAACGCGACGAAGTCAGTGCAATTTTTACGTAAAGGTGCATTCGTACACAAGCATACTCTATCGGACGGGAAAAGTGAGGCATGCAGTAGAGAGAATGTACACAGAGCAAGAAAGAATATGGATAAAAATAATAATATATATATATATAGTGACGAAATGTACATATACGAAAGAAAATGTACATACTATAGAGAGGATGTACTCGGCAGCTGCGATGGCGAGAACAAAGGAGCGAGCGGTGCGATTGATGGTGGAGAGGAAGAGCACGCCTCCGGGGGTGGGGGGAGGGGGTGGGGATGTTGGTGCAGGTGGAGGTGCTGGTGTGGGTGGGGGTGTTGGTGTGGGTGGGGGTGTTGATGCGGGTGGAGAGGAAGTGGATGGAGGCATGGGCATGGATGGGGATGGGGCCATTTGCGCTGTGGAAGTTTGGGAAGGAGATGTGCCAGGTGAGGTTGTGGGTGGAAAGCTTGAGATGAGGGGGGAGGAAGTAGAAGAGGAGGGTGGCTGTGGTGGTGTTGATGGTGGCGTTGAGGAGTAAGGAAAAGTGGGTCGGCAGAGAGATGTGATGGTGCGGATGAAAGCAGCAGGATCCGCCACATGCTCGATCACCTGGGCAGAGAGGAGCCACGGACGCACAATAGAAGCGCAATGAAGGTGGGCTTTTCCTGCACAGAAGCCGAGAGCAGAGAGCAGGGAGAGCAGAGAGCAGAGAGCAGGGAGAGCAGAGAGCAGAGAGCAGGGAGAGCAGAGAGACGAGAGCAGGGAGAGCAGAGAGCAGAAAGCAGAGAGCAGAGAGCAGGGAGAGCAGAGAGTAGAGAGCAGGGAGAGCAGAGAGACGAGAGCAGGGAGAGCAGAGAGCAGAAAGCAGAGAGCAGAGAGCAGGGAGAGCAGAGAGCAGAGAGCAGAGAGCAGAGAGCAGAGAGCAGAGAACAGGGAGAGCAGAGAGCAGAGAGCAGAGAACAGGGAGAGCAGAGAACAGCAGATAGCGGCAAGGAGGGGAAACGCGAGCAGGGAGTAACTAGCTGCAAGATCAAAAAGTTAATCCCCAAGCTCCGTTCAACAGAAAGTTTATCACCCACACTCACTATCCCCCATTGCGATGCTCTACTCTCCACATGCTCCACCATGTGACAAATAGTAGGCTAACGAACATTAAGGCCCCAGCTAGGCTTCGCCTTGCTTCAGCTCATTTCACCTCTCTTCACCCATCTCTCACCTCAACTCGACTCGCCTCACCTCACATCACCTCACGCCTCACCTCACCTCACCGCACCGCGCCTCACCTCACCTCCAATGAGAGCACAGCATCAAAATTAGCCCCCTGTGCTGCAAGTTCCTCTGCACTTGATAGAGAGACGCGAGGGGAGAAGAGAGAAGCGAGGAGAGACCAGGGAGAAGATAGAAGAGAGTGGAAAAGGAGAGTGTTGAGAAGGGGAGAGGGGCCAAACAGCGAGCAGATGACAAGCACGGGAAGAATTGGCGATCAAGCAAATGATGATCCGAATGGAAGAGGATACCTGCAGAGATGCACTTGTAAGATATGGATTGGGTCATAGGATCCCTTGCCTGTACACACGTACGTATACACACATGAAGCATGCATTGAGAGACACTCCAAACCAAGTGACATGCGATTGTGTAGTCACGATTGCAGACGTACGTGACGGCTGGTTGATTTTGCAAATTCTCGAAAACCAACTGGACGAAAACAAACACAGCTGAAGAACGCTTTACGGAAAGCGAGGCTGTTTGTAAAGAGAATCAAACAGTGGATCAAGAGATTCTCAGAAAGAACACCTCCTTTCAGAGGCTTGCTGTGCGCCACTAGGGACATGCATCAAAAGAGACGCACAGCGTGAGCAGCAGCCACTTGTGTGTTGACACGTGTCACATCAACGCCTGTCACTGTAGCTCCCAAGCGAGCCAGCGGCTGCAGAAAACGACACAAGGGAGGGAGGCCCCGGCCCGGAGGGAGATGGTTGGGATGCAGTTTGGAAGGTGAGCGGGATGATGAAAGCGAACGAGGTTAAAGAACAGAGGTGATATAAGCACCTAAAACGCATCAGCGCCAAGGTGAAAGTAAGAAACAGCTAAGGAAAACGCAAAAGAAAAGAAAAGAAGTGAAGGGCAATGAGCAACGTTCAGTGAGACACTTGCCTGGTAGGTAGGTAGCACACCAATCGTGCTCACCTCACACAAAAGCCCCCCCCCACAACCCACGTCAAGCACTCTCAGCCCTTCCAGCGGGCGAGCAGAGTCTGCATTCAGACTGATGGGCGGGTGGAGAGGGAAGGAAGGAATGACTGAGGTCAGGATTGGGATGAAACGTACTCAAATGGCAATTGAAGGCATGTCATCGTATGTCATCGTATGGCATGGCATGGTGTGGCATGGCATGGTATGGTATGGCATGGCATGGCATGAAATGGTATGGTATGGCATGGCATGGCATGGTATGGCATGGCATGGCATGGCATGGTATGGCATGGCATGGCATGGCATGGCATGGCATGGCATGTCATCGTATGGCATGGCATCGTATGGCATGGCATGGCATCGTATGCCATGGTATGGCATGGCATGGCATGGTATGGCATGTTATGGCACGGTATGGGATGGCATGGCATGGCATGGTATGGCATGTCATGGTATGGCATGGCATGGTATGGCATGGCATGGTATGGTATGGTATGGTATGGTATGGTATGGTATGGTATGGTATGGTATGGTATGGCATGGCATGGCATGGCATGGTATGGTATGGTATGGCATGGGATGGCATGGAATTGTATGGTATGGCATGGCATGGTGGAAGCGGAGCCAAGAAAGAAGCAATGGGCTAGATGTTGCAAGTGGCTGAAGCCAGGTCTTCGGGTATGAGAGCATGGTCCCACTCGTGTATCTCCACTCTCTCGCACAAACTCCCTCCACTCATAAACCCTCCCCCACAAACTCCTCTCACTCATAAGCTCTCCCTCTCCCTGCCTCTCACCTTACCCCTCGCTCACCCAAAGTGCCGGCACATGGCATCACGCACGAACGCCACGCGGGCGGCAGACATGGCATGCAGTGGCGCATGTGGGCCCCTGCGGTCCCACCTAAATGGGGAGGGATGTGGAGGAATGGGGAAGGTTTGGGAGGGATTGGGGTAGATGGGGAGAGCGGCACGCCATTGTGAAAGCTGTGTGGTTCTCTCATAAAGCGAAGTGGAGTTGCGAGACCTTAGCAGCTTTTTAGGCCATGTGAACCAAATTCAAAACCTTTCTCTTTTCGCCAGAGCTCACCATTGGCTGGCGAGAGCTTCGAACTTCGCCACCTCTTCGCCATCAATGCTCGCCGACGTCACTCTCCCACCTGACACCGCTTCCTCAAACGCGCGTCCTGCGGTTGAATTACCCGCAACAGCGGGGGAAGAATCGGCGGGAGAGGCGGAAGCGGAGGCAGGGGATGCGCAAACAGGGGATGTGCCAGCAATGACCGTCGAGAATCCCCCGCATGCGATCGCCGGCGCGGCAAGGCGGAAGCACGCAGTGCGGAACACCGCGGACTTGCGGGAAGCGCGCGCCAGAACTGACATTGCGATCGTTTTGAGAGCGTTTCGAACGGATTTGATCGAATCCTATCAAAACGCCTGAAGACAGAGCACGCTTCGAGTAGCAGCGGACACGTGTCAGTTGTCCGTTACGGTGAGAAGCAGTGCATTCCTCACAAATAGTCAGCACCGCCGTGCGTTCCTGGTAGCCGCGAGTTGCTGTCACATTTGAGACGCCCCTTGCCAACAAAACCTGCTTTGCTGAACCGAAAATGAACCATCTTCGCCACACTTTCATGTTTGAATGAACATTTTGTCCGTTCGTCAAAACTTTGATCGGCAAAGCGTACCACGACCTTGGGAAAACATGTTGAGCGGGGTGCCAGGAGTTACACACGTGTTTTGCTTTGCTCAACCGCTTGTAACACTTCAATTGAGAAAGCTTGCTTTCTTGTCCTTATAATTTGGCATCTTTCTCATTGCAACTCGACGCTGCCAAATATTCGGTACAGGCAGCTTCGCTTTCACAATACACAATTTTGAAAAACATCAATGTGTTTAAAAATTATAATAATGTTTCGCCAACTACTCAGTTAGGGCGCGTCCCCTCCCTCGATCGATCGCGAGATCGCCATGAAAAACCGATCGGGCACACTGATCGCAGGATTGGGGTGGGATTGGTAGGAGGTGACAATCGGGGATCGATCCCGAGCCCAAGGTGACAGGGTCGAAAATACAAGGGGGAAAAACTCTCGATCCTACAAAAGCCGAGATCGGTGTGGCACGAAGGCACATCGATCGTCATCAGCGGAGGTGACAAGATCGTTGGGCACCAGTTACTGTACATTCTCAAGTCATCTCGAAATCAGGCTACCTTGTCAATTGCGACACTGTAGCTGTCCCTCGATCGATCGAGGGCAGGATCGATCGAGGGAGGGGACGCGCCCTTACCTTTGCAGCAACCCTGTGTTTGGTGGCTCGAGTCTTAAATTCGGATGGCAAGCACGTTCAAGTAGGGTTGAGATCGGTGCGATGCGCAATTGTTGGCCACGGTTTCGCAATGCCCGTTTAAAAGTCGAAATCAACACGCTGTGCGGGTCTGATGTGAACCCACGTCACTGTCAAGACTCAGGGCAGGAGCATAGGAGCAACCAGGGCGTGAGGAAGGCGTGTAGAGGGCGAGCACATTTGCCTTCTGCACAGATTCATGCCCCTGTGGCTCGACATGGCGCACATCGTTTTATCTCGGCTCACCCTTGTAGCATGCTGGAATGCACGCGGCGCACCCGCGGGAGAGCTGGCGGTGTGCACAGCTTATTGTAACCAGCCTTCTTGCACAGATTGCCAATGTCCTCCTGCTATGCGCCTTTTTCTCCTCCCTCTTGCGGACTGCTGCTCGCCTTTCCTCGCGAAGAGCCTCGTCTGTCTCTGTCGGATACACGACATTCAGAATTGTTGGAAGGCAAAAGTTCCTAACTTGCACGGCACAAACAGCGAAAGGCAGCGATTAGGCGGCATTGGCGCTCACTGTCCCAAAGACCGAGACCAGCGCTTGTTAGAGTTACGAAGCAGTCCTCCTCAACCCCTCTTTGCCGACCCCCATCCCTCGCACCGCCGCTCACGCCAGCGCTCACACCAGCGCTCGCACCAGCGCTCGCACCAGCGCTCACACCGCCGCTCTCACCGGCGCTCTCACCGGCGCTCTCACCGGCGCCATGGAGCACAGCAGCGGCGGCAGCAGCACGGGTACTACTGGCCTTGAGGCGTGCGGCCTCGACCGTTGCGTGTTTCTGGCAGTGGACGGCAGGGAGGACGGCAGTCAGAGCAGCATTCTTGGCCGCGCCACACGTGTGGTGGAGCGATGGCGTGGCGCCGAATGGCAAGGGGGGGAGGAGGAGGCGGCGGGTGGCGTAGAGGAGGAGGCGGGGCAGGGGCGAAGGAACACGGTGGAGGTGGTTGCTTCTCTGTCGCTCCTCTCCTCCTTGTGCTCCGGTGTGTCGGGTGGGTCGCTCCTCCCCTCCTTGTGCGACTGTGTGTGCCTTCGTCTTTCCACTCATCCCTGCTTCTGTATCCACTAATGAAGATGCGTCGATTTCCATGCGTTCCCTCGCATCCATTCTTCTCTGCCCTCCCTTGCCATCACTTTCTTGTCGTCCCTCCGTATGCCCACCTCTGCCTCTCTCCCCATCCTTCTCCCCACCCCTCTCCCCATCCCACTTCCCATCCCTCCTCCCATCCCACTCTCCACCCCTCTCCCCACCACTCGCTGTCCCCATCCCTCCCCACGCCTTTCCCGACGTGGCAGGGATGGGCCGGGGGTCTCCAGAGTGGCAGCAGCAACTGCAGCGAGTGCTGCCGCCCCACGCCCTGCAGGGCCTGCGCACAGCGCTGCTGCTCGTGCCCTCGCACGCCCAGCGCCTCGCCGCAGACAAGGCGTGGACGAGGGCGCAGCGGCAGCTGGCAGGGCAGCAGGGGATGCAAGAAGGGAGGGGTGGGGGAAGACAGCAGCACCAGGGGGCAGCAGCGGGTGTGGTGGGCGTGCGGATTGCCGTGGCAGGCCGTCCCAGTCCTTCCGGTGGCTGTGCTGGCGCCGACCTGGTGTTGCTCTCCGCGGTCTGCGCTCCCCCTGCTGCGTCCGCCTCCACACGCGCCCTTCCAGCCCTCTGGCCTCCCTCCAGGTCGTTACTGGGCCTGCTTGTGTGGGGTACCCATGTTGCCATGCTGCGTTTTCAGTGCATAGCATTCTGTGGCTTGACTTATACACGGCCTGCGTGGCATGCATGGGATGCACCCGAAGCATCGTGGCTGGCCCATGTGCGTGCATGCTGCAGTATGCCGGCGCTGTTGTCCACTCTATCATCATCCTCTGATATGCTCTGCTCTGCTCTGCTCTGCCGCTCATGCCATGCCTCATTCATCCTTTCCCCCCATCACAGAATCCGCGCTGCTCTCTCAACCCCTGCACGAATCCTCATCATCTTGGGCCACGAGGGCACCCTCTCATCCGATAGTGCCACGTGGCGCCGTGTCATTGGCCACACCAAGGCCCACAACAGGTTCTTTGAAGCGGAGCGATTGGACGAGACACTGAGGAGGGCGGTGAGGGCGAGGCGGGCGGCTGTGGAGCAGATGGCGCAGATGCTGGGGGAGGCTACTGAATTCGCGTCTGGGGGGGCTGTGGGAAGCGTCTCAGAAGGTTCCATGCAGTGGCACGATCTGCTGTGGACGGTATGACTGGCGTGTTTGATGTTATTTGGCTGTGAGGGCGTGAGGCCTGTGGGCGGGACGGTGGGTGGGGCACTGTTATTGATCCCTGTCACACTTCCCCTTCCTTCTCATTCCACCACCGCCCCCCGTATTCCTGCATGCACCTTGCTCCGTCTTACCTGCACAAACCAACATTCCCACGGGCTACATCCCCCTCGCCTCGCCTCCCTCTTCTTTCCCCCACCCCCTTCCTCCCCTTCAACCCCCCGCCTCTCTCCTTCCTTACCCCACCCCCTCTCTCTCTCCCCTCTTCCTTCTCCTTCCCAACGATTCCCGGCAGGGTCTGTTTTCGCCTTCATTTGGGGAGGCTTTGGAGCAGCATGAGTCAGCAGAGGTGCTGCTGCTGCTGTGCCGCATACTGCAGGGCCGGCAGGGCAGGCGAGGGGAGAGGGGCGGTAAGGCGCTGCATCGCTGGCTGGAGGGAGGGGGTGGGGGGGCGGGGCGAGGGTGGGAGGATGAGCGGTCACGGCAGCTTGGTGACATCGTGCATGTGGATGTGGTCGGCGACCTTTGTCTTATCTGGTCAACCGATGTGTGCCATGAAACGCTCAAGCAGGTAAGGTCGAGGCAAAAACGAGGCGATGCTGTTTGAACGTCCAAGCAGCTAAGGTCTGGTTAACCGATGGTGTTGGAACGAGTCAGGCAAACACAAGGCGAGTATTACTTGCCTTGCTGTTTTCTCATGTCTACTGCCCAATGCCCATGCCCCCCATGCCCCCCCTGCATCTCGTGCTATAAGCAGGTGGTGAGGCTGTGGGCACTCGTGCCGGAGAGCCAGTGCAGGCCATGGCTGCGCCGAATATCCGCCCACCTCGCCTGCTACTCGCCCGCCTACCTGCACTACTGCGCTCTGCACCAGTACACATGCTCCTCACCTCGCCTGCGCGTCCCTGCTGCTGTTCAGCAACCCGGGATACACTGGTGGCGCCCTCCCTCAGGTATGGCTGGCTAGATGACACCTTCCAGTTCAGCGCCCTTTTCTCCTTCCACTCCCACCTGCCAGCTCACTCACACCATGTGTCCTCTCTGCTCCCTCTCTTTCACCTCCCAGAAGCCCCCACCGAGGGGGCAGGGGACGCAGGGGACGCAGTGACACCACCAAAGTTCATAGCGCTGCAGCCCGCCATGGCACTCGCGCTGCTGGCGCAGGGATCAGGTGCGCTCAGCGGTGTGCTGAGCCATGTCCCCTTTGAGGTCAACGCGGAAGAGCGCGCTGCTGTCACCTGCCCCTCCAGCCTCGTCCTACATGGCCGCTCTGGTGGGTCCTGAGGGAGTCATAAGGGTTCAGCGGGGTCAAAATGGGTCCAGAGGGGTCAAAGGTTGTTGAACGGGGTCAAAGGGGGTCCATGGGGGTCAGCGCGTGACTCTTGAGCTGCTTTACCTGCTTCTGAGTGGTCTTACTTGCTTCTGCTGTGCTAGTCCCAAACTGAGTTACATGGATTCATTGTGTGATGTGAGGTAATGAGGTGTTATGAGGTTATTCCAGGTGTTTATGGTGTTCTTCTAATGCGGGCAGGGCTGTGTGGCGCTTGTGCTTCAGTGCGGAAGGCTATTTACGAGACGTACAAACGAACATACCAGATTCGTACTCTCTGGAAACTCCTTAACCACGCCAATATCAACTGTCAGCAAGCATGTGTATACACCCTCACCTCACTACTCCCATCCCTCCTCTCAGCCTCTACATACCCCTCCCTCACTCTCTCTCCCCATCCCCACTCCCAGGCACGAGCAAGACAACAGTCATATTCCACCGAGTTCTGCACCTGGACCGTCTCTTTGAGTCGACTCGAAAATCAACTCTCCCCATTCCCACTCCCTCCCAGGCACGGGCAAGACAACAGTCATACTTCACCGCGTGCTGCACCTGGACCGCCTCTTCCGCCTCTCTGCCCTCCCGCCCCACCTGCTCCTCGGACTGCCTTCTCCTGCCAACGCTTCAATCACCGCGCAGGGTGACGGCGTGGGCGGTGATGTGGGGGATGGGAGCGGGGGCGGGTTGCGGCAGGTGGTGGTGACTCGGAGCCTGCATCTGTGCGCGTCCATTCAGACTGAGCTCGTGAAGGCTGCACGGTGAGAGTGGGGGCTGCTGCTGCTGCTGCTGCTGCTGCTGCTGCTGCTGCTGCTGCTGCTGCTTGTGCGTGCAGCCAAGAGGACACGGTGGGTTTCATCAAGTTGATGCGTCTCTCGTGGTTGTCTGTTGCGTGGCGCTCATGGGTGTTGCGTGGCGCTCATGGGTGTTGCATTGCACGCTGCATGAACGGCCATTTTATTACGTGTGGACGTGCCAAGGAGGCGGGCTGGAAATCCCTGCAAACCCAAGTGCCTTGTGTCTCCCTCCCCCAATCCGCCATGCTACCTACCACCAGGGCGATTGCAGCCTTGGATGCTTTCCAAGCCGGCTCGCCCCCACCACTCCCCCAAGCGGGTCAACATGCGCACGGAGCACAGGCAGCTGTTGCAACAGCCGGTCAATGCGTGGGTAGCAGCAGCGGCACGGGCAGCAGCAGTGGCAGCGGCAGCAGCAGCGGTGGCAGGCTGTTAATGCGGGAGGACCTGGAGAGCGCCCTTATGGGGGGGTTGCCACCGTGCATCGCCGCCATTCCGCCCACCGCGTTCCCCCTCGCGCTCACCCTCTCCAAGCTGCTGCGCCTGCTCGACGCGTCCGTCTCGCGCCCCTTCCTGCACTCCACGCGGCGCCGCCGCCGGCAGGACGAGGCGAGGCAGCGCCTGGTGCTGGCCATTGGCGTGAGTGGGCGGGGCGTGAGGCAGGCGTGGGAGGAGGGGAAGGTTGAGGGCGCGTGGAGTGGCCGCGTTGAGAAGGACCGGTGGGAGGCGAAGGGGGGCAGTGCGAAAGGGGGCAGTGCAAGGGGGGAATGGAGGCGAGAAGGGGAGGGCTTGGGAGGAGGCGAGTGCAGCAGGAGTGGAAGAGGGCGGGATGGCTGCGGAGGATGGCGGGAGCAGCGGTTGAAGGGTGGAAAGGGGAAAGAAGCGGAGGAGGAAGGGGAGGAAGGGGAAGGGGAGGGGGAGGGGAAGGAAGACGTGGAGGTGGATTATGAGCGGTTCAGGCGGCACTACTGGGCGCATCTGGACCAGCGAGCCACGAGCAGAGCCGTGATGGATGCGGCATTCGTGTGGCGTGAGATCAGCTCTCACATCAAGGGCAGCCTGCAGGCGCTGCACTCGCCGCAGGGGCACGTGGGCGAGGAGGAGTACGTGGGGGGCATGGTGGGCAGCAACGCGCGCACGAGTGGCATGAAGGGGAGCGACCGGCAGGCTGTGTATGATGTATTCCGGGCGTATGAGAGGAGGAAGAGGCGGCAGGGCGAGCATGACTGCGCGGACCTAGTGGGGTATCTGCACCGTGAGGTGCGGCGCATGCGGGCGAGCAACGAGCCGTGGTGGGCTGTGGAGGATGCCGTTGCCAGTCACAATGGTGCCAGTCAGCGCACCACTGTTGGATGCACCACCATTGGTAGTGTGCAGTCACAGCCGTCGCATACATCACAGCCCAGTGGGTGCGTGGGTGCTGTGTTCGACTGTGTGGCAGTAGACGAGGTGCAGGACCTCACTCAGGCGCAGCTCGCGCTGCTGCCGCTCCTCTGCTCCAACGTTGCTTCTGGCTTTGTGCTTGCGGGCGACACCGCTCAGTCCATCGCGCATGGCGTAGACTTCCGCTTTGAAGACCTCGCCCGGGTGGTTTATAGCGAGTTTCTCAATAAAGGGGATGAGTGTGGCAGGGGTGGGGGGGAAAGAGGGGATTTAAAGGCGGGGAAGGGTGGCCAGCAAAGCTGGGAGAGGGGAGAATCGCGGAAGGAGAGGAGCAGAAAGGGCCAGAGTAAGATCAGCAATCCTAGCAGCAGCGGCAGCAATGCAGCGTCTCACCAGTTTGTGAAATCTCTCCCCACGTTTCAGCTGGTGCGGAACTACCGCACTCACAACGGAGTGCTGCGCCTCGCAAACAGCGTCGTGCAGCTGCTGAAGAGCTTCTTCCCGCTGTCAATAGACCGCCTGCACGAGGAGCTAAGTACGGTGGAGGGGTGTAAGCCGGTGCTGGCAGCAGTTTCCTCCACATGGAAGGACCATCTCGCGCACGGCATGCCTCTCAGCGCCACTCAGGTGGGCAGCGCCACTCAGGTGGGCAGCGCCACTCAGGTGGGCCGAGCCACTCAGGTGGGCACCTTTCTCTCTCCCTTGCGCTGAACTGCATGGGCCATCCAGCAGGGGCTTGCTGCATGGGCCATCCAGCAGGGGCTTGCTGCATGGGCCATCCAGCAGGGGCTTGCTTCTTGGGCCGCAAGTCCAAACCCAAAGCGTTTCCATTCACCCACCATGCCTGAAATGCTTAGGTTCATGTCGAGTTTACAAGTCACCTTGTGTGGATGATCGTAAGGATCACCTCACGACACATCTCTCTCCCCCACCGCGCCATGCAGGCCATCATAGTGCGCAGCGTGGAGGAGAAGAGCGCCTTGGCTGGCCACTTCAGTGTGAAGCCGGTTGTCCTCACCGTGGAGGAATGCAAGGGCCTCGAGTTTGAGGTGGGTTCATGCCCCGCCTGTCTTGTAACGCCGTGAATCGTAAGGGGGTTCGCCTCATATCGATGGCTGCAAGTTTCCTCGTTCTCACGATCTAATTTAATCAGAACAAGGAGTCGTTTTCATAAGTCATCCTGCCGAGCTCTCCACTTGCATGCTCGCGATCTGCTGCCGTTTTGCTTCCAACATTCATCCCCGTCCCTTCCGTCCTTCCTTGCGCTGCCCCTTGCTTGTCAGGACGTGTTACTTTTCAACTTCTTCACCTCCTCGCACTCCACGGCCCCCTGGCATCTCGTCTACACCTACATGCGCAGCACTGGCCTATCACCGCGCTTTGGCGCCGGCCTGCCTTGTGGCTGCGGCACCAAGGGCCATAGCAGCTGCAGTCTCTGCACTCTTGATGATCTCAGGTAGGCTTTGCTGCTGCCTTCGTGCCACGCATGCACTACAGAAGAGTAACCCGGCTGTTGCTTGTCCAGTAATCCAGTCCCTCTGCGTCTGCTGTGCGTCTCTGTCTTCTCTAGGGTTGCAGCCGGTCAAGCCGATGGACTTCACCTTCATCTTCGCCCTATGAATATCTGGGGTAGTGTAGGTCAAAAGATCTCGAAGCACTGGGCAGGGCAGCAGAGTACAAGACTAAGCAGCCAGCTTGTAAGCCCAAAGCATACACATGTGTCTGCATTGTGAGTCGACTCGACTCTACAGTTGCCGTGCATCTCTCTGCCTTCCATTACGTCCACTGCCCTGTGCCCTGCAGGCACTGGTCACTGTGCTCCGAGCTAAAACAGCTGTACGTGGCAGTAACGAGGGCCAAGCAGAGGCTGTGGGTGCTGGAGGAGAGGCAGGCAGGCGAGCGCACGCCTATGGGAGACCTGTGGGCGGCAATGGGCATCGTGGCAGTGAAGGACGAGAGGGAGGTGTGCCCGGAGTCTGTGAAGCGTGTCTCCAGTGAGAACGACTGGAAGGCGCTTGGCTTTACTGTGAGTTGGTTGGGCAACAAGAGCCAGTGCAGCGCTGGCGATGGTGGGAGGTTGTGGCTCTGCTCATCTTGATGCTTCTCTCTGCTGCATCTCATATCTTAAACGCCATGTCATCTCTCACCCCTCTCCTCCCCCAGCCCCTCTTGCTTCCACTGCTTGCCTTGCTGCGCCCTCATATCGTCTGCGCTGCGCCTTCCACATGGTGCTCCCAACCCATGGTCAGCAGTTCTTTCAAAGAGGCGATTACGAGGCAGCTCGGGCGAGCTTTGAGCGGGCGGGGGACACGGGCAACGCTCGCTTCGCTGAAGCCACCATGTTCTATGAGGCGGGCATGGGGCGCACAGCACAGTCATCTGCAGCCGCCATTGCTGTATCAACCTCCTCTGCCTCGTCAGCCTCATCTGCGCTGCCCCCAGTGCTCCCGGACCCCTCTCTGCTGTCCTGCACCAATCTGCTCCTGGCTGCGGCTCGTTGCTTTGAGGGCATCAAGAGGGGCTTGGAGGCAGGCCGTGCGTATGCCAAGGCTGGGTGCTATGAGGAAGCAGGTAGGGGTTGTTTCACGTATGCATGGGGCAGTGAAGGTATGAGCGGGCATGTGCGACGGTGAGCACACGGAGAAGGCTGCAGAGCATACATGAGCGCAGTGCAACGTTAGTGCAGCTTGCAGGCACTCGCATGTGCCCCGCCGTTCGTCATCCACCATTGATTTCTTTCCTCGTCTGTCACGCATGTCATGTCTTTCCACGGGCTCGCCTTGCATCCTGCTCTCCCGCCCTCCCTTCATCTTTTCTAAGAATTCTCCCATCCCCCCCACCCCCCCCAGCACGTGCCTTTCTCACGCTGTGCCAACCTCCTGACCACGCCAACGCTGCACGGTGCTTCGAGAAGCTAGGCAGGTTCGCCGAAGCATCTGATTGCTACAACGCCTTGGGCGACAGACCCAGTGCCCTCGATGCGTGCCTACGTGGCAGCATCTTCGCCAAGGGCCTCTCACTGCTCGACAGCTGGCAGGCAGTGGCGTCTCACCAGGCCACGTCAGCACCGGCATCTCACGGGGCAAGTGAGTCCAGCTCAGCATCTGCGGGACCAAGGAGTGGAGATTTGTCTCGCCTGAGGCATTGGTACGTGAAGGAATGTGCAAGGAGGCTGGGAGAGCGAGGCAGTTACGGTGAGATGATGGTGTATGTGCACCTGCTGCCGGGATTGCACGCCAAGCGCGCGTTCCTGGAGGGCGAGAGGCACCTGAGGGAGCTGGCAGGTCTAGAGGAGCAGGAGGGCGAGGTGAGGCGGGTGCCGGGTATACTGCTGAGAGCGGGGATGCTGCTGGAGGCATGCACTCACTTGTGGAACAGGGGTTGGCCAGGGCGGGCCTTGGTGGCCTTTGTGCGGCACCTGCAGTGGCGGGTGAATGCGGCGGGGCTAGGGGCGTGGAGGGTGGGAATGAAGAGGGAGGCGGGGGGCAGCAGCGAGGGGCAGGGGAGGGGCGTGGCGCTGAGCAGAGAGGAGGTGGCGATGGCTCGGCGGCTGCGGGTAATTGAGACGGAGAGTTTGGAGTTTGCAGACAGGATGGAGTGCGAGGGGAGTGATCTGGCATGGGCCAAGGTGGAGATGAGCGTGCTGCTGTTCGTGCTTGAGCTTCATTCTGATGCTGCTGATGCTGCTCATAATGCTGATGGTTCTGATGGTGCCGCTGCTGCTTCTGCTGATGGTGAGATCACTTGCAAAGCGGGTTGTTTGGATCGGCATGTGTCAGAAGCTACAGAGCTCGGGGCGGGGAGTGCTGCTGTGTGTGCAACGTGTGTGGAGCTGTGCCGAGCGAAGAATGCAGAAAGGGAAGCTCGAGTGTCGCAAGCGTGGATGATCGTAAACAGGAAGCGGGTGCTTCCAGCAGGGCGCATGGAGATAGGCCCACAGAGGGCTTCTGCGAGCAGTGGAGAGAGCAGGTTCAGGAGCATGGAGGGGCAGAGGGTGGTGAAGGAGTTGAGTGAGGCGGAGTTGAGAGAGGTGGAGGAGCTTTGGGAGGGGGGTGATGTTCTGCGGAAGGGCTCAGAGCAGGTGTGGCGAGAGAGGCGGGCAGAGAGCAGCGGCATGGAGCAGAGGGACAGCACGGGTGGTGGACAGGGGGGGCGTGTGCAGTGGAAGGGGGTGGAGCAGCTGCGAGCAGAGCTGATGCTCGCATACACTGGGCTGCAGGAGTCTCTGCGCTTGCTGCAGTGGGGGCAGCGCTGCCTGTTGCACTACCTGGAGGAGCATATTTCAGCTGAGCCCCACAGCAATTGCACCGGCCCCGCACCTGCTGCTCACGCATCTCAGCCTGCTGCCAACCCGACAGCAGCAGCTACAGCATCAACGGATGCATTAGCCAGTCATGGTGTCACAGTATCAACTGCAGCAGAAGCAGCAGCAGCACCAGCCTTGCAGCCGTGCAATCTTCCCGCACCATCCCTCTCTCTTCTCCACCACAAGGCGGCGCTCTGGTGGTGGCGATGGGCTCGCAGGCTGGCCGCCCTGCTGCCCGCCCTGCACCATCTGCACAACCACTCCATGCTTAAAGCAGACTCCCACCTGCCCCACCTGCACGCCCTCTTCTCCCTCCTCTCCACCGCCTTCCACCGCCACATCCTCTCCCCCTCCTCTTCTTCCTGCCAGATCGACGACATGGGGTTGGCATGGGCACGAGGGGAGAAGGCAGAGAGGCTGTCCACAACAGGGCGGAGCGGGAAGATGGAGGGGAAGGAAGCTGTGAAGGCGGTGAAAGGGGTGTGGGAGAAGGAGTTTGAGAAGCGAGTGGCGGATACGAAGCGAGTGGTGTTTGATGGGGTTGCACTGTGCTCCTCTGCACTCATAAGCTGCTCTGTCAAGGTTGGTCGCCGTCTTGCTCTGTAGGCATTGCTCCAGGTGTGGGATGTGCAGTCATGTAGATACCATGGCTATGGTGGATTGTTGCCAGTATTCACATTCAGCCACCAATCCTGGTTTTGCGTACAGCTTTGGCTTACCCCTTTGTACTGGCCTTTTCCATGCCCGTAATCTCCTTGTGTTCTTTTACGAGCCCTTTTTCCGAGGACGGTCTTCAACGGTTGTTTCACTAACTCCTTTGTTCCGTCTGTGCTTGAATGAAATGTGGCTTTGACAGGTCGCTATGGTCACATGCCAACATCATGTGTCCACTGCTTCCGAACCATCGCTCCCTCTGCATCAGACACCGTTCCCATGCCCCCCACTGCTCACCTCCCTTCGCACCCTCTTTCTCCTCTCTGAACCCTTCCTCTTGCTACTCCCTGTCACCACACTTTCCTGCTCACGCTCTGCCTTCTTCCAGCCCTGTTCTCTCACTCCCACTCACAACCTCCTCACCTCCCTCCTCCTCCACCCCAGCCCTTCCTCCACGCACTCTCGGCCCCATGCCCGTCTCCACCTCACGCTCCTTCATCTCAAGGCTGCCCTTGCAGCCCTGCTGCTGCTGCCAGACAATCGGCTGGAGAATCGCAAGTCAAGGGAGAAACGAGCTGCCAGTGCTGAGGAGGGGAGTGGCGGAGCTGGAGGGGCGGGGAGAAGTGGAGGCAGGGGCGGGTGTGGTGGGAGCTGTGGTGAGGGTGAAGGCAAAGCGGGCGTGGGACGCGAGAATGGAGTGGGTGTAGCCTGGACCACGCATGGGGCAGCCGTGGGGAACACAGCAGGGCAGCGTTTGGTTCGTGGAGTGCCGCATGGCGCATGTATGGAGGAGACTGCTGGGCTTTCAGAGAAAGAGGTGTGGGGCATCACACAGCTCCTGCTTGTGTCTACAGTCAACGCCTTTCCTGATCCTCGCAACCACCTACACTGCAAGGAACAGTTTGGCAGCTTGAAGGGAAACCCGCTCATGGCAACCTCTCTCAACAGTTTCTTTGAATCACTTAACACGCGAGCACTGCTGTACCAGCAAGCCTCCAACATGTGGAATGTGCATGGAGATGTTGGACGGCGGGTTCCTGCCATCTGCCTTGCGTCATTGCTGCCTCCACCTCCTCCGCTTGCTCCTCCTTATCCTCCTCTTGCTGCTCCCTTCTATGCTGCCCCCCCAAACCTCCTCCCTGATCCTCCATCTGCGATCTTCAACCTCATGCCAGCTTTTGCAATTCACCTCGCTCGGCTCCTCTCTCTGCTGCTCCCTGTCTTACTTGCTCGTGCAACGGAAAGGGAGGGTGAATACATTGGGCCGGCCAGGTTGGAGCTCGTGCGTGCGCTAGAGGCAATGGGCATTGACATGGTTTGCCACTCACTCTCACATTATGAGAGCCATTGCTGCACGTGGAGAATGGGTGGATAAGGAAGGCCCGCGGTCATCAGTGGTGGGGCGTGCGCTTGAGAAGGCTGGTGTTAGTTATGGTTTGTTGCACCATATTCCCCCGTATACACCATGTTAGGGTGCCTTTTAACTTTTGTTTAGAAAACAAGGTGGGTGATAAAAGTGGCTGGAAATACAAAGCACCTGGAAGCCTTTATAGGTTGATGATTTTGTAGGTTGAGCCTTGCTTGCTTGAGTTGAGGGTCCTCACACTTCCAGTCCACAATCGCATACAAAGATAAAGATCCATGTCATCTGCTCAATCCTCCACTGACGATTGAGCTCTCCGCTCTTGCCTCACTATTGAACCCTCTCCGCTCCTGCCTCGCTACTTGAACCTTCCATTCTCACCTCACCACTTGAGCCAGCCCTCCGTGTTAAAATAGGAAGACAGGAAGGATGAATGACTAGCAACAGGGAGATACAAGCATGAAAACCTAACTGGGGTTGTACCCTATACTGAGCACCTCACTGTAGCCTAGCAATGTTAGAATCCTAGCGTGACTTAGGCTTAGGAGCCATAGCTAGGTTAAAGTGTCGAGAGAGTTTTGGGTGAGGAAAGTCGAGAAGGAGAATATCGAGGAAAATGGAATGGAATGATTTCACTAGCAAGAGTTGGGATACAAATAGCAAACCCTAAATTGGGTTGTACTCACTACAAAGTACCCCACTGCAGGCTAGACAGCAAATACATTCTGACACACCCATATAGTCAAAGTGGGGTATAATCAGCAGAGCAAGCAGTCATAGAGCAGGTTCACAAGTACAAGCAAAGCTAGAGGCATTCACAAAGGGCAAGTGAGGAGGAGGAGGCTGGACTGTGAGAGGAGAGTAGATAGGAGGCGACGGCTGATGCTGCAGACACACGGGCAACATGAGCGACGCACACGGTGGCTACCGGAGCAAGAGCCCCGGACTACAGGAGTAACTGGCTCTGCGGCTAACTCTGAGCGGCAGGAGCAACGGACCCACGGGCGACAGGTGCAGCAGGCTCTCTGAGCTACCAGCAGCAGAGCCCCGGACTACAGGTGCTGCGGACGACAAGACGGCAGCCTCCGCTCAACCTCCCCCAACTGTCCCACCCCCCTTTCACACACCCCTTGCTGCACCCCTAGCTCCACTCCCACTTCACCCCCCTAGTACCACTCCCTCGGCTCCCACACACCCACCCCCCTCAGCGGCAGCTGCAGCAGTGGGAGACGGAGGAGGAGGAGGAGCATGGGACGGTTCACACACCCGCCACCCCCATACCCTCCCCCACTGCTGCACCTGCAGCAGGGGATGGAGGAGAAGGGGGGGGGGGGGCTGGTGCTGCAGATCCCCTCCCCCCCACTGCTGCACCCGCAGCAGGGGGAGGTAGGAGAAGGGGGGGGGGGGGGGGCTGGTGCTGCAGATCCCCTCCTGTCTCCCCCTGAACTCCCAAGCTCCCCCCCTCTCCCAACACAAGGTGCGGCAGATCCCCTCCCCCCCACTGCTGCACCCGCAGCAGGGAGAGGTAGGAGAAGGGGGGGGGGGGGGGGGGGGGCTGGTGCTGCAGATCCCCTCCTGCCTCCCCCTGAACTTCCAAGCTCCCCCCCTCTCCCAACACAAGGTGCGGCAGGGAGAGAGGAGGAGGCGCGGCGGCAGCTGCTGCTGCTGAGGCACATCTGCCACCCCTCACACCCTCTCCCCCCCGTCCCCATGGAGGGGGAGGAGGGGGGGGAGGGGGGCGGGGGCAGAGCTGCGCATGCGACTGCAGGGCACGCGGGCAGGAAGAACCCCCTCTTGCCACCCCCTTACCCTTCATGATGCTACAGGGCACCGGGGCCGCGGCTAGGGGCGACGGGTTGCGAGGGGCCGAGGCTAGAGGCGACGGGGCTGCGGTTAGGGGCTGCAGGTCGCGAGGTGCCATAGTTAGGGGCGACGAGGCCAGTTGGGCCGAGGGGCGCGGCTAGGTACAGGGCCGGGCGCTGGGCTAGGGACGGGGCCTGGCGCTGGGCAGGTACGGGGCCGGGCGCTGGGCAGTTACGGGGCCGGGCGCTGGGCAGGTACGGGGCCGGGCGCTGGGCAGGTACGGGGCCGGGCGCTGGGCAGGTACGGGGCCGGGCGCTGGGCAGGTACGGGGCCGGGCGCTGGGCAGGTACGGGGCCGGGCGCTGGGCAGGTACGGGGCCAGGCGCCGGGCGAAGGACGGGGCCAGGCGCGGGCTTGGTACAGGCCGGGCGTGGGCTAGGGACGGGCCGGGCGCGGGCTAGGTACGGGGCCAGGCGCGGGCGAGGTACGGGCCGGGCGCGGGCTAGGTACGGGGCCGGGCGTTTGGCGCGGAACGGAGGCCGGGCGCGAGGCTAGGTACGGGCCGATCGCGGGCTAGGTACGGGGCCAGGCGCGGGCGAGGTACGGGCCGGGCTCGGGGCTAGGAACGGGGCCGAGCGCGGGCTAGGTACGGGCCGATCGCGGGCTAAGTATGGGCCGGGCGCGGGGCGCTGAACGGAGGCCGGGCGCGAGGCTAGGTACAGGCCGATCGCAGGCTAGGTACGGGGCCAGGCGCGGGCGAGGTACGGGCCGGGCGCGGGGCTAGGAACAGGGCCGAGCGCGGGCTAGGTACGAACCTGTCGCGGGCTAGGTACGGGCCGGGCGCAGGGCTAGGAACGGGCCGATCGCGGGCTAGGTACGGGCCGGGCGCGGGCGCGAGACGGGGCCGGGCTCGGGCTAGGTACGGGCCGATCGCGGGCTAGGTACGGGCCGGGTGCGGGGCGACGAAGTCGACGGGGCCAGCGGGGCCGTGGGGCACAGGTAGGGGCGACGGGGCCAAGGGGCCGAGCCTAGGGGCTAGGGGCGACGCCAAGGGGCGACGGGCCGGGGCCTAGGCTAGCAGGGCATTAGGTGGTGGGCCCAGTAATGTGAGGTCCTAGGAACTTTTGCTCTTAATACCATGTTAGAATCCTAGCGTGACTTAGGCTTAGGAGCCATAGCTAGGTTAGAGTGTCGAGAGAGTTTTGGGTGAGGAAAGTCGAGAAGGAGAATATCGAGGAAAATGGAATGGAATGATTTCACTAGCAAGAGTTGGGATACAAATAGCAAACCCTAAATTGGGTTGTACTCACTACAGAGTACCCCACTGCAGGCTAGACAGCAAATACATTCTGACAAGCAAAACTAGGAACATACAAATATGTTTTGACACACCCCCCTAGGCAAAGTGAGGGATAGCCAACACAACAAACAGTCACAAGATCAGTCAGGCAAGAGAACAAAACAATGCAAAGCCCAGGGTGGATCTCAAGATCACCACTCATTCCGAGCACAAGCAAGCGGCCACAAGGCCAGTTCACATGCAGAGTTATAATAGCAAGGTAGTATACTGATCACAACCTAGCAAGAGTAGATATGCATGTATAAATATAGATATAAGTGTACAACAAGTGCAAGATCAAGAGACAAGCAGATGAGGCAGAGTGGGCAGAAGCCCAAGAACAGTGCAAAAACGCTGATCATCACCACACCCTAGGGCCTTGGTGAAGACATCAGCAGTGTTGGCTCGAGAGGCCACGAAGGAAAGGCGACGCTCACCACGCTGCTGCAGCTCTCGAGCAAGAAATTAGCGAAGAGCAATGTGCTTCGTTATGTGCTCCAGTCTCTGCTCGTGACACAAGGCAAGCATTGCCTTGTTGTCGATGTACAGAAGTGGAGGAGAACGAGGCCGCACCCCCAACTCGGTCAGCCAGCGTAGTTCCTGTGCAGCCATAGCCCCGGCATAGATCTCGGCCTCACATCTGGAACCAAGCACAGAAGAAGAGCGAGTGGACCTCCACGAGACAGAACCAGAGCCAAGACTGAAGGTGTAACCCTGGGACGAACGTTGAGTCGCCCGGTCGTCGGCCCAAGAAGCATCGGAGTGTCCTGTGAGTACCACTGAACCCCGTCCTCCAAGCACGAGCCCCATGCCTGATGTACTGCACAAGTAACGCAGTACCCTCTTTGCAGCATCCCTGTGCACCTTTCGGTGTCTACTAGGAGCCACGTAGCGAGCCAAGAGGCTGAGAGTGTACGCGAGGTCAGGTCGTGTGCACGTCATCAGGTACATGAGGCAACCCACAAGCTCTGGATACGGACCACTCGGCTCTACGGAATCGTCCAAAGGTGGAGCTGAGAGCGAGTGGCCAGTAGGCAGAGGAGTGGGCTGTGGCAAGGAGTACTGGAAGCCGAAGCACTGAAGGACCTGGTGCACCATGTGTGACTGAGTCAGGGTGATGGTGCGGTGTGCTCTGTCCCGGGTGATCTGCATGCCAAGATAGCTCAGCAACTCACCCAGGTCAGTGCAAATCTGTCTCTCCTACAGCTCCGCCTTCACTAGGGCCAGCGCCTCAGTATCAGCAGTAGCAAAAACCAAGTCGTCGACGTACACGAGAACGTAGAACGGCAGCCGAGAAGTGTCGGTGCGTAGAAACAACGACGGGTCAGCAGAGGAAGGAGCAAACCCAAGAGCCGCAAGTGTTGTTCTCAGTGTGTCGTGCCACTTGCGGGGCACCTGGCGGAGACCGTAGACTGGCCGCCGGAGGCTCCACTTGGTACCCGCAGGAAACGACCCAGTGAAGCCAGGTGGGCGGCGCAGCCAGATCTCCTCGTGAAGGCTGCCCTGCAAGAAAGCTATGGAGAAGTCACGGGAGTGCAGCTTGTAGTCACGCTGTACTGCAACGTGCAGCAACACCCGAAGAGTAGTCATCTTTGGGGTGGGGGAGAAGGTCTGGAAGAAGTCGACCCCCTGTTGCTGACGGAAGCCTCGAGCAACATAACGCGCATTGAAGGCAGACGGAGAACCCGGCGGCTGCTTCACTATGGAAATCCACATGCCATCGACTATGTTCGCCCCAAGAGGAAGAACCTCGTTGACGGAGGTGCATCTGGACTTCCAGGAAGCCATCTCTGCGTCCATGGCTCTCTGCCACTGAGAGGAGTACTCACCCGTGATCGCCTCAGCGTAAGAGCGCGGGGTAGGGATGTCAG